GACCTCTTAGGAAAGGGGTGAGGTCAATAGTAGACAGTCTAAGGTTAAAGTTTTTGGGGTTAGGGGAAGAAACCACAAAGTCAGGTAGAGTATTCCAGACATTGACCACTCTGTTGCTGAAGTTGTATTTCCTGCAATCAAGTTTGGTGTGGTTAACCTTGAGTTTGTATCTATTGTGTGCTCTTGTGTTGTTATGGTTGAAGCTGAAGTATTCATTGACAGGTAGGACATTGCAATGTATGATTTTATATACCATACTTAGATCAGACCGAAGACGGCGTAATTCAAGGTTTTCTAGGTCTAGAATTTCAAGTCTGGTGGCATAAGGTATTCTGCAACAAGTAGAGGAGTGGAGAACTCTTCTTTTGAAATATTTCTGGACTTTCGCAACTGTGCTAATATCAGATACGTAATGTGGGTTCCAGACTGATGAGCTGTATTCGAGTATTGGTCTAGCAAATGTTTTGTATGCTCTAGTTATTAGTGTAATATTACCAGAGAAAAAGCTACGTAGGATTAGGTTAACAACTCTTAATGCCTTTTTGGCTATGTAGTTACAGTGGGCTCTAGCACTTAGATCATTAGAGATGAGTATTCCAAGGTCCTTTACAGAGCTTGGATCATCAACAAGATCTTGACTATTCAGCTTGTATTTTATTTTCTGATTTTTTTTGCCAATATGTAAGACAGAGCATTTATTTGTTGAGATTTGAAGTTGCCATTTGTTTGACCATTTTGATACATAGTCAAGATCTTTTTGAAGGGTAGCAGTATTGTCTGTGGTATTGAACAGCTTTACATCATCAGCAAAAAGAACGCAGTTGCTCTTAATATGATCACAGAGGTCATTTATGTAGAGTATGAAGAGAGTCGGTCCTGGAACACTGCCTTGGGGGGCACCACTATTGACAGGTACAGAATTTGATAGGACACTCCCAATTTTGACCATTTGTTGTCTGCTTGACAGGAATGCTTCTATCCAGTTATATAGGTGTCCAGAGATACCATGAGATTTTAGTTTTAGGAGTAGTTTGTCACTGAATCAAAGGCTTTACAGAAGTCTATGTAGATTGCGTCTATTGCTATGCCCTGATCGAGTTGTGTAGTCCATATGTTTTTGTAGTGTAAGAGTTGCAGATTACAGGATAGTTTTTTCCTGAAACCAAACTGTTTATTGGAGAGTAGGTTGTTTGTCTCTAAGTGGAGGATAATAGATTGGTTAATAATTGATTCCATGACTTTACAGGTGACGCAGCATAAGGAGATTGGTCTGTAATTTTCAAGTAGGCTGGGGTCTCCCTTTTTGAAGATGGGGATGACCGTGGCTTGTGACCGTAGGTTAGGCAAGGAGCTGGTCCTGAAAGATTTTTCAAACATTATGCTTAGAGGTTCGGCTATGGCAGTGGACAGCTTTTTTAAGAAGTAGGCACATATTCCATCCGGTCCAATAGATAGAGATGGTTTTAGATTGCGTAGTGCTTTTTCAACATTGTCTTCTGTAAAACCAATATGTATTAGATCATTGTAGTTTTCTGTGGTTCAGCTAGGAAATACTGGGCATGATCCACTGCTGTTTACAAGACAAACATTAATAGATATCTATAGTACCATAGATCACCTTCAGTGTTATTAATCTATATTATGAATAAAATCATCTAGGGAATACCGACAACAATATCACTATTTTCAAGTTATGATCATGGGCTATGGACAGATGAACCTCATTCTTTTGAAATGCTGCTCTCCCACCCCAATAATATATTGAATTCTACTGTGTAGTGCAATATTAATGCAATTATCAGGGGTTTTCAATTCAATTGTATAGAATGTGAAGGATGTGTTTGTTTTTTATTTTTATAGTTATAATGCACACTGAAGATGGCAATTAATGTCATTGTACAAGGTGCAAGGACAATAAAGCAAACTAAACTAAAAATTTCACTCAGGCCTTTCCAGTATGAATGACAGCAAAAAGCTGTTTTTCCCTCTTCCATTTGCTTTTAATGTACCATGCAGGTATTTTATGTTAAAGGTTTTAACTTAAAAGTTTTTGTTATTTTTATGTACATTGCAAACTGTGAGATACTTTGTGTGTAGAATTATCTAAATATTTTAATATATACCGTAAATAAAACACTTAAATGAACAATTTCTCAAGAACTTCCCCGTAATCTTAACATGGCTCTCTCAAAAAAAATGAACTAGGTTTCTTGAAAGGAATACATTTACAAAGCTCTATTAAAAAGAAAATAGTCAAAGCAGTTATACAAAACAATTATAATTATGTGATATTTAAATATTTAAGAAAAGTCTATGTACATACCTAACCTATATAATATTAATCCTCTGTTATAATAAGGGATTTCAAAATCTGGTTGTGCTTGTATAGCTGACATGTAATCATCCATAGCTTCATAGAATTCAACTCTGAAATATTTAATTTGTCCTCTGTTGTTAAGTGCTGTTGCCAGATCATGGCAAAGGTGTTTGCTTAAAGGAAAAGAAAAAAATGTTTATTGTACTGGTAGTCTTTGACCTACTGTACAACCATTTGTTTAATGACTGTACAAGGTTAGTACAGCACCAAAAACAGTTACTTATAGCTGTTTTTCACATGACCATTGCAGCATCTCCACAATCAGGTAATAAAACTTGGGACACTTGGAACTGGCACATATTTATGACAGTTGCAGTGTCCCGGACTCATATGCTCATCTTTTGCAACCTTCTGATAAGCAAAGTCAGTGGGGAAGCCAGATTCACTTAACTTACTAACTTAGCAACTGCAGGGATTCATTTCATTGTGGCAAGAAAGATCATAAAATGGAGCAAAACTCACTTAGCAGCTGCCTTGCTTAGCAACAGAAATGTTGGGTTCAATTGTGACTTTAAGTCAACACCTTCCTGTAATTTTTTTCATGTACAATTTTTTTCATTACCATAGTAAGCATGATATAATATGGAATGCTGCTTGAGATAAAACCAAATAATTTATCAGGGATGCTTCAGTACAATTCATGCAACTCTTAGGATTTGGGTTTGCAAGGCAGCCTCTTAAGTTAGAAATCCTCGGTTGTACAGAATAGCATGAGCATGCTTGGGATAAAACCGAGCCTTGCGTGTATGATATCCTGTGCAAAAAGTGCAGGTATTAACAGATACCGTCTCTAACATTAGCATGCTGCATATAGCACAAGCTGGACGGACTCGATTATTGCACTCAACCGACAAAATGCATCCTCTCGCTAGACCTGCAAGAACAGGTCAGGCCATGGAGAAGATCTATCTACGTGGGTCTCTAGGAGTGGAAAAGGATTCCGGGGATTAGTAATCAACCGATCACTCCTCGGCAAGAAACAACTCCCCCCGTCGGGCTTAGACTTGGGATCCCATAGCCGCGTTATCCCAGCACAGAATCACCTCATGTTGGAGCATGCGCAGTGATGGATGTATTGGCTGTAGAGCTCCTCCGCCCTCTCGTGCTGCTGCCCTTCGAAGTGCTCGTGGGCTGCGGCTAGCAAGTCCGCGGCGCTTTCGACCCTCGAATCTCCCGCCATGTACTCCGTCCTGCTTGCCCGTCCTGTGCCTCCGCTTCCGTCCCTAGCCAAATCTCAAGCGAGACTAGACAAAGAAATCTGCCTTCCCCTCCTGGCCGGGGCAGCCCTGCCTACTGTGGAGGAAGACACGTGACGCCCGCAAGCTCCGGTTGATAGATTTATTCAGAGGAAAGGTTCTATTGGACATGTTCAGACGAGCTGTCGGGCTAGAGTTTAGATAACGCGGATGGTTCAGCGCAAGCACGAAGTATCTTTGAGGTCAGCAGCCATCTGGGCTGTTGTGCGTGGAGAAAAACCGAAAACCAATAACGGGCTGCCGTGATTTGAGGAGAAAAAAAGGAACAGATTGAATACACGAATAGATTTTTTTTTTTTTAATACTAGCATTATAGGCATATCTACAGACCCGCTCACGTCCTGGACATAAATTGTTCCAACTTCTACCCTCAAAATGACACTATAGAGCACTGCACACCATTTTTTTCCTCCATGCCATCACTCTGCTAAACGTAATTCCCACAACAGACTCCCAAACAGTAAGGCTGTATTAGTAGTAGTCTCTTTCCTATGAGCTATCCTCCTTTACTTATTATCACTTTGTTGCTTGTATCTTTATGATATACATTGTTTTATTTAGTTTCCTAGTATGATTTATGTTCATTGCTTATTTAGTATCCAATGACTATCACTAAGCATTGTATCTTATGATTTATGATGAATGTATTTTTATGACGACTATGATCATGATTTGTCACTTATAGCTTTTATGTACAGAGACCTTATGCACTGAAGACAAAGTCCTTGTGAACTTGGCCAATAAAGAATTCTATTCTATTCTATACTTTGCCGATGAGGCGTGACTTGTGGTTTGCCTAGGTTGGAGAAAGGTTTAATCATTTGTTAAGGTTGAGATCAAAAGCTTTATGCCCACCAACTATATTGCTGAAAAGAAATTGGGAATGACCTTGGTTTGCCAGGAAGGGATTAATCATCCTGCTGCTGATAGATACCATGTTCAGGCAATGCATGTAGTCCTTGACTTACAACAGTTCATTTAGTGACGTTCAAAGTTACCATGGCACTGAAAAAAGCGACTCAGGACCGTTTTTCTCACTTATGACCGTTACAGCATTCCTGTGGTTATGGGATCAAAATTCAGAGGCTTAGCAGCTGACTCATATTTATGATGGTTGCAATGTCTCAGGATCACAGTTTTTGCGACCTTCTGACAAGCAAAGTCAATGGGGAAACCAGATTCACTTAACAACCGTGTTACTAATTTAACAACTGCAGTGATTCACTTAACAAAAGTGGTGAGAAAAGGCATAAAATGGGGCAAAACTCACAAAATTTTCCACTTAACCACATAAATTTTGGGCTCAATTATGCTCATAAATTGAGGACTACCTGTATGCTTAACCATAAATCTGAGTTTACAAAATACAGTATTATTTTAATAAGCAATTAGATTTGTTACGCAATATATCAAGCTTTGGTTATTTCTGCACTCACAATGTTACCGATTGGTGTTCTCATTGTATTTTCATTACTGAAATTAGGTTGAAAGATGATGGATTATGTAATATGTGCACACCCAACTCTAAATGTGAGGTGATATATCTAGTGTAATTAAATATTTTTATTTGTGTAATGCCAATATTTCAATGATAAATTATACTTTTTTTAAAGAAATGTATTCTTGAACAACCTTGTAGTAGCAAATTTTAAATCTCAAATATGACCGACTCAAAAATTGTATCTTCTGTTTTTAATTCATGAAGCTTTTATTAATAGGAAGTTAGCATGAAACATATTTTAACAATCCCAAGTACAGCTGGCCATGGTAACTGCATAGTTATACCTGTAGGAAAGAAAAAACAAAATATATAGTTAGTTCATTATAGATGCCAGTGCTTGTAAGGTAGATAAATGGATGCCCTACATGTTTGTCCTTGTGCAGGTTATATTCTCCCAAACTCAGTGATTAATGTATGGCTATACAGATTGCTTAATCAACAGTTTGCAACTCTTAGCTCAGACTTCTGTTTCAAGGTAAGTACTGACCTTCAAATGCGGCTTGTAAGCTTGTGGCTTAAAAACTTTGCCAGAGCTAGCAATCATTTTAAAGGAAGCTCTAAGCAGGATATCCTCTACCTTCCCATTTCCTGAGGAAACTTCCTTAGGTAGTAGTAAGAACAGAAGGACAAGCATAATTGAGAAGTAACCTGGGGATACAGTATAGGGAAGGTTCTACCACTTCAAGTAAGAATTGCACAGAATGCCAAATTATTCAGGAGTTGCCTCTGACTAGGTTACTCCCTGATACCTCATTCTCTGGTACTCCAAACTAAGGGTATGACCATTTCAGGCCATTCTGTGAAGTTTAGCCTTTTGTTTGATAAGCATTTGAATAGATTCTTTAAATAGTTCTTGAATGAATCCTTTGGCTGAATAATACTTCACTGAACAGAAGAAAAAATAGCAGCTTGTTCATATAGTAAAAGGGATTTGCTTATGTCACTATCTTTATGTGGGGCACTATTAGAGCATTTCCTCATCTAAAAACATATTATTACATTGCTTCATATAAAAAGAAACAATAATTGACAAGTTATATTTGTAGAGGAGAAAATTGAATATTTTTATGCACTCTGCTCATTTCCTCACTGATATCATTCTGTGGATTCTTAATAAATATGTACTTAATACTTGACATTTCCAACACTGATTTTAAAAAAAAACTATAGAAAACAATTATATATTGTACATAATACAGTGTGAAACATATTTAACACTCTTAATACACATATATCTATTACATATTACTGTAAGGAAATGATACTCAGAAATACAAAAATTATATAATAGCAGTTTTTCACAAACAAAAGATGGGTTTAAGACAAAGGGAGTTATATTAAATTTATCAACAGGATAGGTTACTAATTTTATATAATTGTTATTGTTTGATGAAATTGTTGCCTTATAAAAGCAAGGAAGACACCTGACCCTGATGATTTTTCTAGTGGATTGGTGTAAAAAGTACCCTGGTTTTTCAATCTCTTGCTTTATTAGAGGTATATAGTAAAATTGATTCAAATAAATCCTTTTCTTTTCTTTTTAGTTTAATTTAGTTTTAATAGGGCAATATTGCACTTATTCCTGAACAGGATAAGGATTACTAATTATTTTACCTATTTCCTTCATAAATGTGGATGCTCTTTTAAAAATTACTTTAGCATAGATTTCAGGATGTTCTTTCATCTAAGAATCCTGAGTTTTCTGACAATACCTTATTTTTAACTGATGTTATTCCTCAAACTCAGAATGTATCTATTTTCATTTCTTGGGACACGGGAAAATCGCAATATGATTTCTTGAAAGTTTTTGAGGTGGGATTGTGACATATTTTGGATTCCCTTCAAACTGTTAATTTTCTACTGATTTGTTCAGCCCCTAAATCATGGTTTATTATTTATTTCAGGAATGTATTATTATTATTACTATTATTACTATTACTACTACTACTACTACTATTATTATTATTATTATTATTATTATTATTATTATTATTATTATTATCAGGAATAACATTGCCCCACAGTTACAAGTAGAATTAAGAATACTTAAATGCATCTATGATCACTGCAATGTTATTCTACACAATTACATCAATGATGATAATTTAATAGTCCAGCAGTCTTGATTCCACTAGCATTCACCTCAATTTTTATAATATTTTCTGCCCCGAAACCTACCTTATTTCTTGTGATGTTCAGCTCTTTAAATTGCTCAGGTTGAAGGATAAAGACTGGTCCAGTTACTACATAACCATGATGGTTAGGGTAAATTTCAGAATACTGATCTAAAGCATTGTAAGAAGTATTGGTTAAGTGATCTATTGAATAAACAGGTGCCAAATAGGAACTTACAATATACAATGAACTCATAATGTATTAATAACCACTCTATTAATGGGTGGCTTATCTTCAGCTTTCTTTGGAAAACTTACCAATTATTGTTCCAGGAGAGCATGGTTTACAGGGAAGTCCGCTTCTAGGCACACGGAGGCAAGTGCCAATTGTTGCTGTGCAGTGCAAATATACCTAAATAGAGATTTAAAAGATACACAAGGAACAGAAGCTTTAATAGAAGTCCTATAATATGTGAATAAATCCCAAAATTTAGCAAGTTGAACTCCAACTGCTCTTATGTTCTATGTAACTGACTCATTAAGAAATACCTTCCAGAAGAAAAGTTAGAATAGCTTGGATTTTAATCTCATTTTCCTCTAAATATTTAAAGTAGCAATGGATGAAATTGTAGCATTTTACCACTTAAAAGCAAAAGAGATGGTGACATCCTTTACCACATAGATGATCAGAGGAAGATATTGTAAGATATTTGCATATGGTGTAAAACTAGAACTTCGTATTTGGCTTCAGTTGTATGAATCTGTAGTGATCTTTTTTAAAAAGATAGATCTAATTTCATAATTTTCACTATTTTACTTGAACATTAATACTTTATTTGCACTATAATTGTTTCCACTTGTTTTTATTAATATTTAAGATAGTTTAATGTCTACAAAAGGACGCAGTTTGATTTCTTCCAAAGATATTTTAACACAATGACCATTGCAAACTGATTCATGTGATTTGGTCAGTGTTTTATATAGTTAGATCATTAATACCTCTGTCAGAGGAAGAGTCAGATTCTGTATCCTCATTCTTTTGAAGTGATTAGGATATTTTATTGGATTGCTTGTGGTTACTGGAGAGAAGATCACGGATCCATAGCTTTTATTTTCACATCTATTTGGTGGGATGAGAAAATCCTCATTGTTAGACTACAGATTTAATAATAATTATTACAAATAATTCTGGAGTGTTACTTGCCCATCTACAATAAAGTTCCAGTGAGGAATGCTGTTGATTTCTTCAGATTGTGTCATCCAGCAGTTTTCCAAAAATAGCTCAACATTAGGGGCTTCATCTTTTAATTCTACTTCAAAAAATAGAGGTTCCCATGAACCCTTGAAAACTAATGAATGGGACATATAGGCTTCTGTGAATGATTCATCTGATATGAGGGGAAAAAGGAGGGGAATGATCGGTTTTTGAAACAATACATAATTTTAGGCTTATGATTTTCATGTTTAGAGGAATCTTACCTTTGAATATATTTGCCTGGATATTTAGAACTTGTCTTGTCCTTATAAGGCCTGTGGAATAAATTATAATGGCTGTCATGGCTGTAGACAGATATTCATAAGTTGTACATTTAAGAAAATTACCTACCTTCACTATTAGGCCAAGACATCATTGTGCCAAAACCAAAAGGTAAAGTTCTAGATGAGGAACCATAGAACACAGCATTTTGCATCAAGGTCTCTTTGATTGGATAATAGCACAAGATAGTCAGTCTGCAATAAAAATATATATATATATATATTTTAAATTCCTGAACTTAAAATGAAATCGGCTGTGATTTAGTTATTTTACCTGTATCCTGGATCTCTTGTGATAATTGGTTGATTCTTTATTGGAAGAGTTTCTTTTTCAAAGGATATTTCATTTTCATAAATAAGGTGTTCATCACTAAACTGTATTAGAGAAAAAATATCAAATCTAATATACTCGATGACAAAATTACCTCTGTTTTGTTTTTTTCTGGGAAGCCTTTTCTCAGTTCCTTACCATTAAGGAAGTGCCACAAGTAGAAACTTGAAATTGAAATAAAGCTTGGTTCTTTGTATAGTCTAGAGGCTTACAAATCTTATCCTTCAGTCTTGTTTTGCTCATGTCAATGGATGGAACTGTCTTCATGTGAGCCAATACAGTTACAGTTCCATTAGGATAGCACGCTGAAAAAAATAGAAGACAATGAATTAGAACACAAAACATCTCTCCCTCAAAGAGCCTATTCTCAGCTAAGAATAGACTTTACCTATGAATTCTGAGGACTGAAAATTACACCTAATAGAAAAGGTCTTCAGAGTCTCTAGAGTGGCCATTTTCTTCAGGTCCAGATCAAATCTAGTTCGGATTCTCTCAAAGGACACTTCCTTTAAAAAAAAAGACACATATTTTAAGGATATTGTTTGTTTCGAAATTGTTTAACTGAAATTGCTTTGTTTTAAAATTACTAAATGACAACATATTTTAGAAAGATGGGGGCAGAGTTTTCTTGGTGGGCTGCATTTCATTTCATTTCATTTATTTCACTTTAGGGGAAAACAAGGTGCTTGTCCAGCAATGCAATGATGTTATTGGAAGTTGGCCAGCATACAAGTTTGAAAAATGAAAAGAATGTAGCTGGCTAGATGGATAGACTTTGGCTTTGGGAGGAAAGACCAGAGGATTTAAAGACAGAAATAAATAAATAGCAATAACACTTAGACTTATATACTGCTTCACAGTGCTTTGCAGCCCTCTCTGAGTGGTTTACAGAGTCAGCCTACTGCCCACAACAAACTTGGTCCTCATTTTACCCACCTCGGAAGGATGGAAGGGTGAATCAACTTTGAGCCTGATCAGATTCAAACTGCCAAATTGCAGGCAGTCAGCAGTCAGTAGAATTAGCCTGCAATACTACATTCTAACCCCTGTGCCACTGTGGCTCAAATGTTGCTTTGTAGTGGCTTAACACATCTATTTCCATTCTTGTTTTTGCTAAAGTGGCCATTACCTCTGCTGTGACCTAAAGCTCTCCCTTTCCTGAATTCAGGCACAGCTATTTCTATGGAAAGTAAATGGTCATTTTCTGTATTCTTCTTAGCTTGTGGCGTCAATTTGTGCTAATGTTTTAAAGAATTCATTCAATTTGGCTGCTAATTATGAGTACACTTCCATTAATGGGAAAGAATGCTTTAAATATTGACCCCCATATACGTGCATGGTGTTTTTCACTAAAGTTTATTAAATGCAAATTAACATAAATATAACTGAAACTCTTATAATCAATTAATTTTTTCTGCAATTGTGTGACACTAGACACTGTCAGTTCTATATCTTGGCACAGGCATTTACTTAAAAAAACCATGTCACTATGAGAGGAAAAAAATGGGAGGAAAAAGAACAATTCTCTTTCTGAGAGAGAGAGAGAGAGAGAGAGAGAGAGAGAGAGAGAGAGAGAGAATGTAGTTTTATTGATAACAGTATATAAGTTGTTTCATTTTTCTTTCTAGGATTTTTTTATTTCTACTTTCCTGCAATTTCCTGACAGCTTTCTGCCCCAATGCTAACCATGTTTAACCCTGCTTAAGTTTTTGGATGAGCAAACCAAGCTAGGTGCTACCAGCTAGTAGGGCTCACTTGTAATATATACCTCATAGATTATCCCAGGAGCAAAGAAAGGCACTTGCAATAGTAGATGAGTATCATTTGTAGTGATAAGATATCCATTTCTTTGGGCAGTGATATAATTCAAAGGAGTATTGCCTATATATAGAATCCAGTAATGAAATAGGCCTGCAGTTGTAGCATATAAATATATATTCTCTTTGTCACAGTATCCAATGCCTTCTGGTAATTCTGTAGAAAAAAAATAAAAAATTAACTCATACTAAAATAACCTCTACAAATGTTTCTTTAACAGATCTTCTTTTAAAATTAAGTATTAAAATACGATGTACTACAATTCCATAACTGGTAAACTGATAATTTTTTTGAATAATTTGGTCTTTAGTTAATAGTTTAGATCATTATCAAACTCTCTATTGCACTGAGACAAGAGGCACCAGGGTTGTTAAAGAACCAGAGGCAAAATGAAGATACCCACAAAGGAGAAAGTTCGAAGTATTTTTTTTTTAATTTTATTTATTTGATTTGTCAATCGCTTGCAAAATAATATGTACATGAGTAGAAAACAGGAAATAGGTACGAATAAATGGAGACCATAGGATAGGGATAGTAGGCACGATTATGCACTTATGCACACCCCTTACACAGCTGTAGGCTGAATTTGATAGATCGTAGTACTTGAGACCGTTATTATATAGTTTGAACATTTTGCCCAAACATTGCAATTAAATTGCTATTGCTTGTCATTTCAAAACAAAACAAAGCTTAGGCAATCTTTTTCATGTTCTCATTTAAACAGAGAACATACAGATTTCATTGCTCCCAATAGTTTAATTCTTGAACTAGCCTTCTGTCCATTGTGGCTAAAAGTTAAGCCAACAATCTAAAAAGTCACTGATGGGTCAATATGGTCAGTCAACTTACGGACATCTTCCATTATGCATTCAACGTCTGCAGGATGACGATACAGCTTCTCTTCAGGACCCACGGTCAGAGTGTAGATTACTCGGAGGTGATACCGAGTTTCATTTATGTTCATATACTTAAAACAACAAATTAAAACCATGAAATCCAACAGTATTTGGCAACATCCTTTTAATAGAAAGGACACTGTTTAGGACAAAACCTATTAATTACCCAGGCTTGCCCTCTAATCTTTACACAGGCTCTTATCGTAACTAGGGTTATGTTGGCTAATGGGATAAAATACAGATTTGCTCTTCCTAAATATTTTTTTTACTTGGGAATGGGAATGTCTACCTCCTAGCAGATCTGCATTTGATGTTATTATAAGGTTGATATTCCCATGTCCAAGGGCCCTCCAAAAGGAAAAACAGGCTTCACCAGGAACTATTTGGTTCTAGAAACCACTACAAAAATGGCCATCGAGGCAGAGGCCTCCAGTTTGAGGGGGAGTGTTGATCTTGCAGCAAGCCAATCAGAGCCCTGCAGGTTGCCAGTCTCCTAAAGGCTCCTTTTCCACGCACACTAGAACATCTGCCAAAATAGCTGGAGAAACACTACTTTCAACCAAGACAATTCAGTTTCAGTTGGATTCAGCAAAGGGCTAGTAACAATTATGGAGGTTACAGAGTGAGATCATGTCCTCAGCAACCTATATGGGGCATCTTAATGCCATAGCAACCAGGATGCATAAAGGTAATATCAGGGGTCCCTAAACTTGGCAACTTTAAGACTTGTGGACTTCAACTCCCAGAATTCTGGGAGTTGAAGTCCACAAGTCTTAAAGTTGCCAAGTTTGGAGACCTCTGTGTAATATTAAGCACAATGGTTTTTTTTAGATTTTTTCCCCTATTTGCTAGTATCACAATGTTTGTTCAGTGCTTCCTCCAATGAGAGACACGCCCCGCACCCAACACACAGTATCTTACTTCTTTTAGGACATTGGGATCATCAAAAGGCACTTCCAGTTCAAAACCTCTTGTTCCATTGGGGAAGGAAATAACAGAGATCCTGTAGCCTTTTTCCTCTGCTTCCCTGACAGAGAAAGTTATATCTCCAATTGTAAGAGTCACCAGATTGACATCAGGAAGGAAGACACCCAAGAATACATCAAATATCCGTGTTTCTGGAACTGTATCTATGTAAACAAGAGGACATTTGTTATTGGAAAAATTCTAAGCATAAGAACTTGGTTATTCCCGGGAAATACTGTTTTATAATGATCTATCCTTTGAAAGTAGAGCTGAAGAAAGTGTTTGCTACTAATGTTCCTTCTTTTTGGAATGCATTGAAAAAGCACCCAGCTCCTCTCAACCCATTCTTCAGTTCTGAAATTCAAAGGCTGTAAGTTCTCTATAAACTGTTTAAAGTCAAGATTAGACCTGCATATTTAACTAACAGGGAGCACAATGACTTAGTGGTTAAAGAGCTGAGTTTGTCAGCTGGAAAGTTGTCAGCTGGAATTTGAAACCTGAGTGCCACATCTTTGCTCGAGCTCCCATCCACCTAACAGTTCGAAAGCTTGCAAATGGGAGTAGATAAATAGATACCACTTTGGTGGGAAGGTAACAGTGTTGTTTTGCGTGCTTCGGTTATAGACATGCTCACCACATGACTACAGAAATGTGCTTGGCAACATTGGCTCCCTCAGCTAGGAAACGGAGATGAGCACTGCCTCCTCGATTTGGATTTGACTGGAAAGGGGAAACCTTTGCTTTTACCTTTATTTAACCAACCTCTTTAATTATTTTAATGGCTTTGCTAGATTTCTGAAGGGAGACACACACTCTGTTCTTTGCAGGGCAACAAACTGTACATGTTCATTACAGTTAACAACATCAGCACCTCTTATTTAGACCAACAAGCAGACTCCTGTTTGATTTTATATGTAGCCACACATACTTACTATTGATTACTATTGGTATTCGAGGCAGGAAGGGTATAGTAATTGGTTTAATCACAAGGTACTTGGTGAGCTGCCAATCTCTATCTGTCCAAGAATGTTCCATCAATAGATCAATACTATAGGTCACTCCATAGACACCATTAGATACTGTGCTCTGAGAAAAAGACAAATTAGAACTATTAAGTGGTGTTGCATATAGGCATTGTCTTTGTTGTAATAGGTTCACACTATGTTCCAATATGTTACCTTACAGATCACACACTTTCCCTGATATTCCCCTCTATACCCATATACTGTACATATAGTAGAGCTTATATTTACCTGAAGTCTGCCTCTAGGGGCTCCAATTGGGATAGTTACTCCAATGTGTGTATTGTTATGTTCCAATGTGTAGTTGAACTCTCCAGGGTTCTCTATTTTTTCCCCATTAATTCCCATTGTTACTTTAAGCGATCTGAAAGTGGATTCATGAAGGACCAGTCTTGGGTTAATCATTGGTATAGTCCATATCAGAGAAGCATCTGTGAAGCTGGTACCATCTGTTGATTTATAGCACTTGTCAGTTTCAATTCATTGCTAAACAAAAACCAAAACTTTGCATATTACTGCTAACAGGCAATATTATAACATTTATGAACCATCTTTCCAGACTTCTTGTACACAAGCTGCCGGGATCTCATTTTAAAATTTATTATTTCAATGTACAAATTCTTTTTGACGTGCTTGCAAGTATAATTGGTAGAAATCATTGCTCACTAGTAGGTCCTGGTTGCATGAACCTTCAATACCCTTCCTTCCCTGGATAAGCCATGAATTTTCACTGTAAGAGGAGAAAAATACTTGCCAACTGGGCACGATACAGTTGTGTCAATCAGCAGGAGAAACCATCTTTGCCTATACCTGGACGTGGAGCTGATTGTGCTCATTGTGACCCCATTAACCTGTGAAAAATTCATGGTAAAAGTTTTACTTTGACCAGTTGAAGAACAAGATAGCTTATAACATCTCGCTTTTGAGTGAAGGAGGGGGGCAAATTACCTCTATATTTTGAGTTTCATTTGTAGAGTATGGTGAGCGAAGGAACACTCTTGCCAGTGTATTATTGAAGCTGTAGCCCAGTTTGCCAGCATCTCTCACTCCTGTTTTTTTTATCCCTGATGAAGAATAGAACATCAAATTCCACATCTGATACATAACCTTTTGTGCCTAAAAGAGAGAGAAAAAAAATCAAAGACAATAAGAATTTTCAAACTGCAGAATGGCAAAAAGATTATTCAACAAGCACACAAAATTCTGCAGTTTCAATATGGCTTAGAAGTTGTCAGTTTTGTGAGATAGTCTAAACAAGATGCCCACTCAGAAATACTAGCTCAAACTTTATTGCAAGATTAGGTCAACAGAATCCTGCAAGTCTGAAAGTATATCTCTTCCCCCTTGCCTTTACCAATCAAGAAACTAGGAAGGGTCCATTCTGATATGTTTGCCATGCCCCCATTGCTTCTGCAAGCTAAGATACCTCTTATCTGATCATTGTCTAATCTGTGGCTCTTCCTCCTATCTCTCAAGGTCATTTCCACATACCATTACAGAAGTTAAAGGGCGTTAACAGGTTTTTCTTTTTAGCCCTAATATTTTGAATGAGGCCCAATTTGTGACTTAATGCTTTAGTACTGAAATCCCCAGAAGTTCCAGCTAACGTGGTCAACTTAGATGCTTAACTTCCAAATCTTCTTGTCTTTGTTCTCTGATTTACAGTATCTAAAAGATAAAATCTTCTAAGACTTCCTGTAAGCGATGACCAGGCTGAGCCCAAGGAAGTAATAAGTCACAAGTCCCTGCACACCCGCAAAAGATTTAAGTCTAGCCCATCTTGAATGTCTCTCTCATGCCCCCGTTGGAACCTGAATCTGCAGGGTAAGACTAACTGGAACCTGAGTTGACAGATTGAGCAGGCAGTTTCAGTAGCTTTGGAGGAAAATGGGGAAGGCCAGGGCCACCCCCTCCTGATCTGAGAGCACAGAGAGTGGAGAGAAGGTGAGAACAGTGGAGACTAAGCAGGCTACTTAGAAGAAGAGTGTCCTGTCCATCTTCACAAGGCACACCTGGGAAATGAGACTTAAGGAGACACTGTGGGCAATGGTGGGATGCTGCCAGTGTAACAATCGGTTCGCTAATCACACGCTTCAATAAATTTGTACTTCAAAAATAAATCTGACAATAGAATTTAAGTGAAATTAGAAGCCATGTTTGAATGATTCTACATATGAGCTTGTATCATACAAAATTTGGGTTTCTCTTAGTAGAAAGTCTTCATATTTTAACTTTCAATAATCTGCTAAATAAATAAGATCTTTTTGTACAGAAAGTACTATAATTTCCAACTGTTTTTATGATATATACTATGATTATTATTACTGTTAACATTTGTATATTACCATATTCATTTTTTTAACCAGAGTCTACAGCTTTTAAAACAATGTAATCTATTTGTGCAAAATTAATGAACTATTAACAAATTTAGCCGTATTCAGTTGTTACAATGCCAAAGAATCCTCTATGTGGTTTTTCTTTTGTTGTTGTTGTTCAGTGTGGTAATGACGATACAGTCGAGTTGTTTGATCATGAACAACTGAATTATGATGAACTTTATTGGAGTATAGTCTTGCATTTATATACATTTTTAATTATCCTCCATCATTGGTTAACTTTGGTTACTGCTTAACTTTCGTTACTGTTTAGTACAGTAATCCATACAATTAATTATCTCTAGTTAAAGTCTAACATATGTCTACTTCCCCTCTCTAATCCTCCTTTATCCATAGATTAGTGACTTTGTTTGCCTGAGTTGTATTTGCTTGGAAACATTCTTTATCTGAGGTTTGCCATCCGAGATTGGAACATTCCTACAATTACAACTCTACACAAGAGCCTATAGAATATTAAAGAACATGTTCTTGCACAGGAACAAGAAGCTCAAATACAAAGGCCAAAGAAAGTATAAAAGCCCACCCACTCTCAACTTCATTTTGTCAATTGCCCAGAATCACATGTGGTTCTGCTTCATCAATAAACCATCTTTCCAATCATTCTCCATGTTTCCAGCGTCTTCCTCCCAGCTTGGAACTGAACCAGATGAATATTTCTCCCAACAGTCTATATTTGTCAACAAGGACTCTCAGGGTAACAAGGACTCTCAGGGTACAAAGAATCACATGGTCCCTTGCTAGTTGGCCATAAAGTCTCTGGAAAGAAATTGCAAGATATTTTGTTCTAATGTCAGAGGATGACATTAGATGAAATTGACCTTTTTGTAACCCTAACCCTTTGCATTCCTGTCATTAAAAAGACTCTAAGGCAGTGTTTTTCAATTTTGGCCACTAAGATATGTGGCTGCTGCCTAGAGAATTCTGGGAGTTGAAGTCCACAACTCTTTTTTTTTTAAACAAGTTTTATTGATTTTTAATACTACAATAATAAATCCATAACAATCAATACATTAATCCATTAAACTCTATATTCAAACTAATATTTTAAATATTCCCTTTAGTTTTTTATTAAAACTTATTATCATTCATTATTAAACCTTTTAAAGTTATACCTTGATATTTTAGTCTTTTATTAGATCTTAAAAAGTTCTGATTATCTACTTATAATACAAATACCACTATTACAATACTCATGTGTACTTTGCAGAATCCCCCTTTTTTTTTAAAAAAAAATCCCATATATTACCCATTATCCCTGAAAAAAGTTTCCTTTTCTCCATCTTGTCTTATACCTTTGTAACTTTTTCCCCCCTTTTCCCTTTCCTTCTTAGCCCACCTAAACTTTTTACCCCCTCCTCTCCAAACCTCTGCCTTCTTGATTTCCCCTTTCTGTTGCATTCCTCTTTCCTTTTGCTTTCTAGCATTCTGTTGTTTTTGCATCTTCTTTTTCTCTTTCATAAACATTTTTTTATTTCTTAAGTCCTTCTTTTTCGCTCCTCTCTTTCTCCTTTCTTTCTTAGTCACACCGTTTAGTTCATTAAAAATGGCTTCTTCTTCCTCGGCTTCTTGCAGCTGTTGTTTAATTTGCTGACACATGACAAGCGCCATATCTAGGAAACAAAGGGCTTCTCCCATAACATCTTTGCCTTCTTTCTTTATTTTTAAATATTGTTTTTTTAGTTCATCAAGAGATAGAGCCATTTTAAACTGTTTCTTCTTCTCTTTCTGTATCCTCTTCTTAAACCAATCAGTTATTTCCAAACTTAAAACAGTTCCCAAAAGTCCCAAAATCCCACAGTCATCAAACAGTCCAGGCAGAGTACAAGCTTCTTCTTTTTACAGTTTCTCTTCTAGGAGTGAAGTCAAATTAGGGAAAGCAGAGACGTCCAATCTGTGCTTTAAATCTTTCTTAGAATTAATTTCAATTCTCTTTATCTTCAAGGCATCTCCTCCAGCAAAGTCTTAGAGTAAAAATTTGTTTTCCCAAGCCTCTCCCTTCCCACTTATAACAAAGGAGTTTAGGTTTTACCTTCTATCAAAAGGCTGGTTTCCCTTGTCCATTTATTAATTCCATAAGGGAGGGAGAGTGACTTCCCCTTTTCGTCACTTTTCTTCGCAGCTGAAAACATCAATCGGGAACGTTATAGCTTCCAAGTCATTACTTTCCCAGGTGTTAAATATATCCTTAAGGTCCCAGTTCGACCAAGAAAAAACTTTCTTTAAAAAAAAAAAAACTCCTCCCTCCTGCGCATTCTTTATCCAATTGCCGGCTTCTTTATGGTGGCCATAAAAGACCACCACTGCACCGTCTTGAGAGAAGGGGGTTATTGCCGGCTGGGGGGGGTTTGTGACGCCCCTCACCCCCGTCCGGATCCCCCCTATCTTCAGCTGCCCCAACAGGGCAGCCTTAGCCTCCAAATCCGTCAGGATCGGAGGCACCAAGGCGGCTAGCACAGCAGGGATCGCAGAGAAGGCGAATCCCTGCTGTCACCGAAGCCGACAACCGGAAGTGCCCGAAGTCCACAACTCTTAAAGTGGCTAAGATTAAAATGTATTGCTGCAAAGGATTTGATTCCAGGAAAATATATTTCTGAACATAATCACCTGACTGGGAGCTGCCCTGGACTGCAGAAGGGAGGGAGCTGAAGCTCTTAATTATGGATGGGGATTTAGGCTGCTGGATTGGATTTAGTACATTTGATTGATTTCACACATTAGGCTAAGGTTTGATTTGTTTATGCATGATTAACTAAACAAACCCAATTACCGGATTAATATGACACATCAAGCCATAAAATATGGTTTTAAAATCCCAATGGCTGAGGTCATGAAGAACAATATTTAAAAAAGTTAGTAAAACCTATGTATGTGCAAACTCTTTCAGAGACCGAGCGAATAATCTGAGCTATTTTTAATTTTTGAGGTTCCCAGTCATAATAAAAATATATTCATACAAAGATTGAAATGAAATGTGAATATCTTTTTTCAGTTAAAAACAAACAAGCAAACAACTGTCTCAGTTTGAGGCCCAATTAGAATTTGATTCTCGAATGTCACTCCTGAGTCTCTCCTTTCTTCAAATTTGCTCCATGAATCTGTTATTCCACTGGGGTGAATTATGGGCACATGTGCACACAAACATATATACAGATAAAAACAAAAACATTATTATATTTAATTAGGTAGCCCCATATAGACTGTTTTACAATAATCTAGTCAAGAGATTACCATGTTCAGCTGGTGCACAAAACAAAGCTGAGCAAAGGACTTAGATGAAATGAGATTTGAGCAGGAATCATGAGTCTGTGAGATTCTGTCCTCAGCAATCTAAAATTAATAGGGTTACCAGTACATGTAACATAGATGTTTGTTCAGGTAAGATTACCAACCTTGCTGTCAAGCAAAACCAAGCATTTAATAGCGAGTGCCATACCATGCGCACTAATCAAGCAGGTGGCAAGAAAGGGGCAGTCAGGCACAACACAGGTTATGTAGACAGTAAACACAGTGTCAGACATAAAAATCTCAAGTGCCTAATATATAAATGCACAAAGTCTGGGGAACAAGCAGGGTGAACTCAAACCATTAATACATGAAGGTAGATATGATATAGTTGGAATAACAGAAACTTGGTGGGATGAAACCCATGATTGGAACATACTGGTAGAAGGATACAAACTGTTCAAAAAAAACCCAGACCCTATAAAAGAGGAGGTGGAGTTGCACTGTATGTAAAGGACCACTATATTGCTACATAAATGTATGAAACCAAAGAGGAAA